CGAGTGCAACCTTAAAGGAAAACGCTTTAATTAATCGTCAAAAGAGTAATTTTGTTCTTCTTTTATACATTTAACCTATGCTACCTCTAAGATGAATATTGTATCTACATATAAAACTCAAGAAACATAGGTATATTAAGTTCCTGGTTACTCGATCACCATTATTATCTCAGATTGTAATATCAAAAGTGAGAAAACACCATCTATTGGGTGGTTCCATACATTCGTTCGGTTTTTAAAGGCTGAAATAAAACAAATTTTTTTCATACAAAGGATGAATTTTAATCAATGATATATTCTCCATTTTTGTTGATGACCTCTTCAACAATCAACAAAAACGGAGAATACATCATTGATTAAAATTCATCCTTTGTATGAAAAAACCTTGTTTCATTTCAGCCTTCAAAAACCGAACGAATATATGGATCCACCCAATATATCTGTATAGTCTATACCATACAAAACATATCATGAAAATTCTTACAAGATATATTAAAATGGAAATATTTTTCACTGAAACAATTTGCAATCGATAAAACAGACTTATAAAATATCCCAAAAATTTTCCTTTAGTTTCAGAAAAAGAGAGAAATTAAATCATATTTATTTCTTTACATTATTTTATGTAATAAACACATGTATTTATGTACATGTTTTTATGTACATGTAATTTAGCAAAATTCAGTTCCAGATATAACCTATATCTACACTGCAATTATATTTACTAACGGAATAAAATATTTATTAACCAAATTATAGGAGAATTTTTGTTATTTTACAAGTTTCATTCTATTAACTGTAAGTGTTATTGAAAAATACTTCCATTTTAATGTACTTTGCGAGAACTTTTATTATGCTTTTGACGTGACAATCTGAAAAGAAAATACCAGAAGCTAATATTACCTGACGCCTGTAACATCAAAAAACAATATGCAATAAAGTTTGATATAAAACATTGTCTATTAATTCCCCAAAAATTCGAAAATCTTGAAATCTTATAGTTCACTCGGAACGGTTTACAAAAACGCAGAATCATATGTGAGAAAATCGATATAAATATAAGGTTATTAGATGCGACGGTTACCTCTGTCTTCGTTTCCCTGATAGACGTACGGAAGCAGAAATGGAAATCGACGGATCGACTTGTGAACAGAAAATCGAGAAGCGCTGACAACTGACCACTAAACAAGCTATCCAGCAGTTCGTGATAAACTGATGTTTTAAGGACAAGAAAGGTCACCCACTCAGTCAGCACTCCCTAGCGATTCGGATGATTCTGATCATGCGTATTTACTGTCAAGTTCACTACCGGCAGTGCCGGCTGATTTTCACTACGCGACAATTTAATATCTCAAATATCTGCCAACAGACCGATTAATAAAATAAAAATTAAAAATAATAGGAAACATTATGGTCGAAATGAACAATCTGTAGACAGAATACTTGGAAAAAATAATGAAGTTTAATTCTAAAAATCTGAAATTTATATATTTAGATTCAACTCTATACATATGTATTAGGCAGCTAGGTTTGAGTAGTGCCTAGTTAAAAAAATAAAAGTTAAGTTAAAAAGTTGAAAAGTTAAATAATTTTAACTTATCTTAGTTATATTTTAGGCTCTTAACTTTTAACTTAATTTAGTTACATTTTATCGGTAACTATTAACTTTTGATCTAACTTTCTTGAAGTTACATTTTTATGTAAACCCAAAATAAAATATACATGTCCAAATTAATGTCTTCAAATTCAAATTTGAGAACACATCAAGGCAATTGTAATAATATAATAAATATAGTCTGGCCGCGGGAAAGAATCACTGTTCGCGGACCTTCTGTGCATTCAATCACGTTGGAAGAAATCCTTCGAAATCGGTCCTCTTACCGCGGCTCGATAGAAATAAGTATAACAAATATATACTTTATTTAGAAACTTTTTTTAGAAACCCTAAAATTATAAAATGAAAAAATTTAATTTTAACTTTTTAATTACTTTTTTTTTTAATTAATTTAACTTTCAACTCAATTAATTTTATTATGACTAACTTGTATCTTAACTAAGTTAAATTTTTAAACTGTTAACTTTAATTTAACTTAGTTAAAAAAAAATATTAACTTATCCAATCCTGATGGTATTGGGCCATCATACATAGCTGGGGCACAACACGTATCCCGTATCAATTTTTCACATTGCTGTAACTTTTTTATAAAATCTGAAGACCTGAATTAAGGATATGTTTAGTACGTATGTACTAGTAGCAAAAATTTGCTGGAATTTGATTTTGACGAATATATATTGCTCTTCTCATATAGTTTGAGTAATAATTAGGATTGTGCAGAATCTTATCATTTAATTTTCAGAATTATAGAGCGCAGAGATACACTTTAAAATTTCTGTTCCTTTTTTTCTGAGAATTTTCGAATTCTCTGAATTATAATGAGAAACTTTTAGCAGTGACGGTACCCCAAATCCAACCTAAAAATCTAAATTAAAATCTTTATAACTTTGGATTGCTTCAATAAATCGACTTCGGCTCTTGTCATAAGTCTCCAAACATATATATAATATATATAAGTAATAAAATCTGTAAAATTTTTGTTAAATTCTTAATATTTTAAAAATATAGGTGCTATAAACATCCTTAAGTTAGAAAAAAAACTTAAATTTAACTATATAAAGTACCCATAGATACGATAAGTCTGCAAAAGCAATTTTTTGCATTATTCTTAACGTGATATAAAAGTTTAACCAAAAATTACCTATGTTGACCTACATAATACTTTATAATATCGCAACGTATAATAATTAGTGACACAAGTCAAAATTTCTTCGAATTTCGTATTATATATATGCGGATTCTAAATTCATTAATCTTCTGCAATTAGAAAAAATGACAAAATTTGAAGCATTTTGAATTGTGGAATCACCTTTCTTGCGGTGCGGTACGCCGGTACATTTTGAATTTGCATGTATATATAATATTAAAAATAATGCTTTCAATTTTATATTTCATATATATTTATATCTACAGATTATACTATTATATAAACTGCTCATTCTGCTGATTTTGCATATATGTTAAAAAAAAACGCAGCATCCAACCGATAACGAAAATTGCAATATATGTATATACATATTACTTATACGTCATGCACATTTGTGATGTTTCGTTTCACGCATGAAACGCATGATGCATCATCTATCCCTATATTTAACGAATGTTAAACAAGGATAAATGATTCATCATGTGCATCCGTGAGTACCAAGTGATCTGGAGAGTATCACGTGAATATATCATATCATACATGTGATTGTATATACTGTACTTAAGTAGCGTTCCACTCATTTGCTCTTGAAATCATTTCATTCTTGTTGTTTATCAAATGTTAAACAAGGACAAATGATATAACTTATACGTAATATACTCACGTATGTATATATACTACATACGCATCAAGCGTTGCGAGCGTCAAAAGTGGAGCACACCATTCTGTGATAGAAATCTGTGGATCTAATATCTATGTTTAAAGAGGAAAAAGTGCCTCATTGTAGTCGATTCATTGTATTAATATGAAATCTTGAAAAGATGTTGAACGCTGTACCGCAATATTATAACTATCGTACAAGACATATCGTAAAACTATGTCGATTATTTGGCATGGTAAATATTTTAATAAGTGATAAATGTTTAGTTTATGGCATTATTCTTAGATTTTGATAAAATTATTTTGACGTAAAAATAAAGATATTTGATAAATAAAATGAGTCGCTTGTGACTTCAAAATTAGAAATTGTTGACATATTTAAGGTTAGGAAACTTGTCAAATTTGTTACATCGACATATAATTGGATACCGTCAAGGTGATGCTAAAAATGCTTTGAAGCATTTGATGGCCAATTTGTAAAATTTTTTTGTTCTGATTGGTCAATCAAATGCTTCAAAACATTTGTAGCATCAAATTAACCGTATGTGATCTATTATCATGTGAGTATGGCATGGATTGTGACAGAAAAAGTGCGCGAATTTTGAAAGGTACTTGTAATGCATCATCATTATCTGATTCCAATGTAAAACAAGATCTATAGGTATTAGATCTATGTATAAAATTAGATCGAAACCGCTTCTCTACTTATGTATAATATTAATTTAAATATGCAAATAATGTAATATTTGTACTAGGTAAAATTCAAATTAATGGAACTTATTTAAGTAACTCTTCCCAAGTAACAAGATGACGTCAACCCTTATAGAAAAGTATTACTGAAACTACCGGCCAGAATATTACTGGCAGTAATTTACAGTAATTTATTACTGAAACTACTGAAAGATATTTAGTAATAAATTACTGTAAATTACTGCCAGTAATATTTTGGCCGGTAGTTTCAGGAATACTTTTCTATAAGGGAAATGACGTTTCAATAACGTCTTATTGATGTTAGAGATATTATTAGGACGTCTTTTGACGTTATTAAGACGTCACCTTGCTTAGGTTGTTAATTGAGTATTGCAAAGCAACACTCAAAAAGAACCGGCGAAGAATAAGCAAAAAAGATGTTAAGGTAAAAAATTAAAAAATGTATTCTCTAATACAATTAAGAATGACTTAATTTTTTTTATATAGCAATTTCGTTAAAATTTCAGTTTAAAAAATTATGAGATTATAAACATGAGAATATTTTATCACTGTTCGTTTTTTTTTATTATAACGTCCCTTTTTATTTATATCGCTTATTTATTATTCATATTGTCAGTTCAAACTTATAAAAACTATAAAGTAGAATCGAAACAATTATTAATTTTCTAATTGTATTAATAAATTATCTAATTTTTTAATTTAACATCTTTTTTGCTTGTTCTTGGCCTCTTTTTAGTATTTTAAAATTTTGGAATTAAATTACAAGTGCCATTTCAAAGTTTGCTCTTTTTTCATCATAGTGCGGCGTGGCACGTGCTTATTATTCTTTGGTTCCTCTTGATGCTACAAATACATTTTTTGATTAGTTAATTAATAAAACGCTTTCTTTTAATTGCCCGATTGGAATGCTTCGAACATTTGTAGCGTCAAGTGGACCAGTATCATTGTATTCTTATCGCTGTATAATAGGTTCCCTAATCTTTACATATTAATTTTAGCATTAAATTTTTGTTTTTAGAATCGCGAGCAACTCTTTTTATTTATCAAATCTTTTATAATACATAAAAATGTAGAATGTACATTTATCAAATTTCAAGATTACCATAAACTAAACATTTATCAAAATATACTGACTAAGCGCGCACTGAACTGAATTAACAATATTTTTATTAATTTAATTGCACTTAAATAATAATTTGACAAGTAAAATGAAATTATCTGAATTCTAACATTAACTTTGACAAAGCATACCTATAGAAATTTTTCACTTAACTAAGGCAACGAATCAATTATCAGAATTTAATTAAGAGATTACACTGATTATAGACTTAAGACGTACACTATTTTTATTTGTAATTATTCATCTTATTTTAAAACAAAAATATTTTGTTAAGTGAACACAAACACATACTCACATAGAATATTTTCTTTAATTAAACAATTTTTCTGTTATAAACATTATAGAAATCTTTATATGTATACATTTGTAGTAAAATTATTTTAAGGCTTCTCTTCACACAACTATTTTAGATTGTGACGTCAAAAGCGAAAAAATTAGAATAAAAATTCAACAAATATTAAAAAGAAAATATGTTTCAACAAACACTTAAACTGAAATAATATATGGATAAAACCAATAACAGATTCATAAAATATGTCGAACATTCTTTTGTTTTGTTAATAAATAATAATTATGCAGGGTTAAATAACACCCACTTTATTAATTATTAGCGTAAAATTATTTCTTGTAAAAGAACTGACAATGAGTCGAAAAAGCTTAAACCATTTTTGTTTACTAATATTCAATGAAGCGATCACTACAGTATAATTACTATTCCATGGAGTATTGTAGAAAAAAAAGATTCTGAATTTTTTAACATAATTTTTTACAACAGTATGATTAATAAACGCTATTTAAGATACATCCTGCATATCTGAAAATGAATTGTGCATAACCAAAAACGAAATAAGCTACATTCACAACTATAAAATTATATGTATATAGAATATAGTATAATATAATATATAGAAATGATTTAATTTATCACTGAACCAAAGATAGTTTTATTAAAAGATATTCTCCTAAATGTTTTAAAATTATGTTGTAGGAAACTATTCTATTTGAATATATATATATATATTGCAAAAATTTTTATTTATTTTCTCGTTTCTAATATCATAATTTAAGTAGGCAGGAATTTTAAACAAACTTAAGATATGTTGGAAATGTCAATACGATGTTGATGTGTAATTTTATTTTTACAATACTTAGCTATACGCAAAGTGCACGCCGCACTTCAGATGCTTGTTAGCATCATAAATATTAAATTACTTGTCAATTTAATTCGTTACAGTGGATTCTGGCTTCATATAAGAGTGTTTTAAAACGGACAAAAAGTGCGGCACGCAGTTTGCATAAAGCTGGATTGTAACAATAAAATTATTATACATACCAATATCCGTATCGGCTTGCATTGGCATTACTACGTTATTTCTGATTTATTCCTGGGCACATAATTCCTTTTAATTTAAATTTATTTAAACATTTGTTAATTACAAGCCATAAATGCTTATAAACTGACAAGATCTTATAACTAATTTGCAGATCTAAAAATAAGGTATTTTTAATAGGTTGTTATTCTGTTTTTATAATGATTTAATTATTATTTTTATCTACTTACAAATATGTACAGAAAATGCGTCTTATTCAATGAGGTTTATATCTTACGTTTTTATCTTCATTATTTTTCTAGGAAACAACTAAACTGAAAAACAATCAAAAACTTCATGATGTAATTGGTCCTCCTGATCCAGTTTCAAATCTAAGACCTGTTGTATTTGCCAGCCGCTCAAAAGAAACATACTTAGAAAAGAGTTATAGAGAGCTTAGAGAAGAGACACAACAATGGAATCAGATATTTTGGTCCAAGCATAATACTAATTTTATTGAGGTAATTTTATTAAGTGTGATTCTTTCTTGTGATATATGTATAAAATATATACCTTAGTAAAAAGATTTTATGTGATTTCAGGAACGTAAACAATTTCAACAAACGTTAAAGGCACAAGGAAAGGAAACATTAACTGCAGATGACATGTCAATATTTTATAAACAATTTTTAGATAAAAATTGGAAATCTCATTTCAATTATAACATTGCATGGTATAAAAGAAATATAAAAATTTTATTTTTTGGAATAGCAGCAAAAATATCTAAGCTTAAATTTAAATAAATTTGTACAATTAAATTGACATTTATATAAGTAAACATTTCTAACTAAATATATTGTATTATATATTGTACAAATACTGAAATTAAAATATTATATTTATCAAAAAAATGCTACAATTTTCTTTCTCTTTTTTTGTCTATGATTATTTTTTAAAAGATTTCTTTGTATAAAATGACAATATTCAATATAAAATTGTCATTAATTTATTTTTTAATGATCAAAACATTACTAGAATACAAAATTGTACACAAAGTTTGAACTATGTAATAGCAGTAAGATAATGTTTCCTGTCATAAAACTATAACTGTACATACAATCGAGCTTAAAGATTGATTCATAGAAATTTTTGAGGTTTTGTAAATTTCAAACAAAATATCTTGATATTGCCTCGATATTATTCATCTCATGTCCTTAATAATCTACATATACATTTGAAAGTTAAATATTACTAACAATATGAGGCAAGCTCGTCAATGTAAAAACAATCAAATTATAAAATAGGCCAAACTAAGGAGCATTAATAAGATAACGCTTAAATATAAAATATAAAATTTATTCAAAGCGAATAGGCGCGGTACATGTTTCGGCTTTACTTAGCCTTCTTCAGCCGCAGAAAATCAAATAAATAGCGAAAAATACACGAGTCACATAATCGATATCTCAGGATGGAAATTCCGTTGGAAGTATTGTACACGACAGCGACTAGTATAAATTTATTCTCCTTTGTCCATATATGAGAAACTTGTGGATTTTTTACATTTGACTTAGTAAGTTTTTAACATTTCTTTATATACATTAGTTATTTTAGATTTTAATTACGCTCATTAAATCCATAGTTAACGATATTAACTTGGTTATTTGACAAATTTTCACAATATTTTCAACTCTGTTAATTTGATTAAATGTAGAATTTCCACTCTGTTAAGACGTTATAATGTGAACAAAGAGAATAAAAGCTCCAGAATAAAAGAAAAATTTCGACGACCACTGTGATTATATTGACTCTTAAATTGCTATTTCTTAACACTGGTTACTTCATGTATATTTTATATTTGACTCTCGTTTTTCTACACTAATTTATTGTCATATACCGATTATGTCACTCATATATTTTTCACTATTTATTTGATTTTCTGCGGCTGAAGAAGGCTAAGCCGAAACATGTACGCGCCTATTCGCTTTGAACAAATTTTATATTTTATATTTAAGCGTCATCTTATTAGTGCTCGTTAGTTTGGCCTATTTTATAATTTAATTAAATATTATTAAAAATTAAAATATTATTATTAAAACTATTATAAATATTTTCAAAACCCAAGTTTTTATTTAATTTTATTTATTTTAACATAATATGCAAAAGTATCTGTTTAAATGTTCAAATATAGGTCTAATAATGATACAAATTCAAAATTTTTTCAATTGTTTATATATACAATTTATGTTATTAGTACATCATAATTTGATAAACCATAAACTATATTTTACTTCTAAAAGTTTTCTTGTAGAATAAAAAATCTAATTACATTCTGATAAAGCGGTTATATGTTTAACGTTTATATAAACTTTTTCTTCAGAGATATGTATTATTTATTTTAATGGTGTCCTTAATAATTAATATTATGTCATTATTAACGTCACAAAATGTGAACATTTTATTGTGGTTTAATCACGAAAATATATTTTCTTTATTTTTAATTACATATAATAAAAAAATATTAATCATAAAAATAAAACGTGACACTTTAATCAGACTTAACATGTCCAAATTTAGTTAATTGTATTTTGTAAAATCATTCGACTTCGTTTAATATTTCCAGTCTTACAATTATTGACATTACTAGCAAATCTTAGCGAGTTTAATGTCTCGTTATAGCATTCGTCTAATGGAGATATGTTTAACAACATTAAAGTTTTAGAATTCCCTCCCAAAGAAGGCATAAGTAAATGCGTTAATTTAGAATTTCTATAAGGAATATGTTCCTGTTTCTTTAAAAGTGCTAAAATAACATTACCAAGATTTGCCAGAGATTTATTGATATTTTTGGTTTCTGCAGTCCTAACAGCTTCTTCAGTCTTCAAACGTTCGGACCCCGCTAAGTCAACTAAATTCAGATTTCCCACTGATACCTCTTGTTTTGTAGTGTGTGTACCAATTAATCGTATTCTTGCCACTGAATGTGATCTTGAGGATCTAGAAAGCAAATTATTAAATACTTTAAATTATATTCTAATAAAATTTAATTATATATACGTTTTTGATAGAATAAATGTTATTTAAATTAAAAGGAAAAATAAATTTAAAAAATTTTTTTGTAACTATTCAGTGCAATTTGAATTAGATATAACATGAAATAAAACGTACCTTTCATTTGATTGAGTAGCCGCCACAGCTCGATTACGTTGTGCAATTCGAAGACATTCATGCAATTCTTCTGGACTATGTATCTCTTCTATCCGAAGATTACTAACGTACAAATCTTGACCTTTACTATCAACCATTCGTATTTCATGCGTTTTTGGTTGAGAATCAAGAAGATCTACGATATGTTCATTATAAATCTCCAGAAAACTAGCCTCTATTCGATACTCCCAACCGAGAAGTTGAAACTGTTTCATTTCTTTAAATATATGACGTACCTGGAATTTCATATAAATTTTATTATTTTAAAAATATTAAACACACACACAAAATTAATTATTTATATATTTTTGTAAAAAAAAAAAAATAATCTACTTAAAACAAATGCAATTTGTATATGATAAATAATTTTTATAAACTAAAATTTAATTATCAATTTATCAAATATCATTTTATATGCATTATATTGTAGATATATAGAATGTATAAAATATGGAGAAATAATATACAGAAGAACATACTGTTCTAGGTATCATGCCTTCAGTTTGTAATCCACATTCTCCTTCCATTGTGTACGTCTTACCAGAACCAGTCTGGCCGTAAGCAAATACGCAAACGTTGTAGCCTTCAAGTGCTGATTGTACTAAAAGAGACAATTCTTCAAACACATCTGCTTGAGATGCATTTGAAGTAAATACTTTGTCAAACGAAAATTCTTGTTTTATTCCTCGTAACTTTCCGCTGCAGCTGACTGCGTCTGATCCATCAAATTTGCCGACTTCAATAGTGCAATCGTCTATGAAGTTAACATTACACATCCTGTAACAAGTAATAATTTGATTCAGATACACACACTATTATACATCTCTTCCACTATTTCCTTAAATAAAACAAATTTTTATTTAATTATTGAATGAAATTCATCAAAATATGAAATAGTTATCGAAGTACTTAGAAGAATAGAAGCAAGTTTAAAACAGAGACACTATATTAATTTTCAATTTTTAATTTTCTTAAAAACAAAACTTCAAATTAAAACAAATTTTAAAATTTTAAATTTTAAAAACAAATATAAAAACAATTTTTATTATATATTTTTAAATATATTTTTGCAATCACTTTTCAACTATATTTACAATGAATCATCTTATGCATACAAATATTTGTAGAATATAAGCAAGAAACGTATTTAAACTTTAAATCACATTTTTTCATCATTTTCTTAAAAACAAAACTTCATATAAAAACCATTTTTATTATACATTTTTTATATATTTTTGCAATCACTTTTCAACTGTATTTATAATGTATCATCCTATACATATAAATATTTGTAGAATATAAGCAAAAAAGTATTTAAACTTTAAATCATGTTTTTTTCATCATTAAATATTAAAAAATTTTTTTCATATCAATTTATATTATTTAAAAAACAAACAAAAACCTATTAGGTAAATTAGATAAAAAAAAGTTTGAAACAAGTTATGTTATAAAGTTATGATACAAAGCAAAACACATAAAAACCAGTATTCACTCTGTAGAAATTGTAAAATATACAGTTGAAAAAACAATTCTCAATAGTATTTCAATTCTTTCTTATAACTAAAACAGAACATGTTTACTTACGTTTTCATTTGATCAATTTCCTTTGGCGTTCTTGGGCGAACTCTACAGAATACTCTGATATTGCCTTTTAATTCTTGTATGGTATTATGCAACATTCTACGTTCCTTATCCATTTTATGAGTCAATGCTTGTAATTCTTCTTTGGCAATACTCAAACCTGTATTCATCTCGTTTTTCAATTCTAAATCTGTTTTTAAAACTGTTAATTGTTCAGTTTGTTCTGAAATCAATATTTCTTGAGTCTTACATTTTTCTTGAAATTCGTTCATAGCAAGAGAAATACTTGTGCATGATTCTTCTGATTCTTTCAATCGTTTTATTAAATCTTCCTCATTCTTTCGAATTGTAAGCATTTCTGCTTTTAAAGCCTGAAGTTCGCTAGTCAAAGTGTTATTCAAAACTTCAAATTTTTCTACTTTAGTTTTATATTCAGTTTCGTTAGCTTGTAAAGTATTTACCAATTCTTGGAGCGCATTGTATTTCGACGCTATATCTTTATTCTTCTGTTGTACAATTGACAGTTTATCACTTGTCTGTGCCAAACGACCTCGTAAATCCCACTTTTTAATTTTACCTGCCTTATCTACGTCATTTTGAACAACTTTATTTACCTTGTTCACTGTATTATTAGTCATTGCATTATTTGACTTCACTAGTGCTTTAGGAGCAGGTTTAACAAGAGGTTTCTTTGCTTCTCCATGTGTTACATTAGTAGCTGTTCGTTTTACTGCTCTCACATTGTTTGGTCGTATGATTGTAGACAATGTCTTTGCTCGAACTAAGCCTTGTTTAACAGGTAGAACATTTTCATTCATAGATTTCATATTGGCTGAACCTGACGTTGACGTTGACGTTGATACTACTGTCGATGTCAATATATTATTTTTAGTTATTTTATTATTCTTAGCAGTTATATCCGTTGTACTAATTGCTCTGTTTATCACTATTTTTGGTTTTGGTAGACGAGATTCCATCTGCCAAACGCAATAGATAGAAATGATTTATAATTATTAAATAAATTTAAAAGAAAATCAAATGTAGATTCAATACATACAATATAAGAAAAGAAATATATTAATAAGTAAAACCATGCACATATCATACTGAAAGAAACTTTCTAAAGCAATAACTGTTAAATAATATACGTGCAATTTAAAGATATCATGCGTTCGAAAACTTAATATACTTCAAATGCATACTGCAAATGAGATACATTAAAAATTAAAAGAAATTTATATAGCTTGTTTATGTTCATAATGAAATATTATGTGTAAAATCTTGCTTAAAACAGAAAATATATGAAAGTACGATTATTAATAACGTTAAACAAAACAAAACAAACCTTGTCACTCACAATAACACAATCAGCCCTTCAATTGCAGTAACACTAATATCTTCTACGTGTTATTATTTACTATACAATTACCTAATGTTCACATGTCATTGATAATGCCTTTTCACTCTACAATTAGAACTTTTTTTTGTATGGAAGATAGAACTCATATAATCACGAATTGAACACAACTGGCACCTATAAAGTAGAGAAAACGGCTTCGTTCGTTGTACAGAAGTCAGAAATGGACAGTGGCAGTTAGCAATAGCTCCATTTGAAATTGAATCCATGTGGGGTACTTATACATATACACACATATATCGACCAATGAAAAATACGAATACTGTTTGTGCATCACTTCAACGAATACGATAGTTGATACGATGAAGAAGCCAATTGCGGCTGCGTTCGAAGAGCTAGCTATCAATATTAAGGAGCATTTACATTAACAGCGGAAAAGCAGATTACGGATCAAAATTGCTACTGCTTTTCTACCATTCTATTAATTCACACAGCATATTAATGAAAATAAATAATTAATAAAATAGCTTATTGATGAAAATAAATACCGATATATAAAGTCAGCTGTCGAACTAAAGGGAAATTCTCCCGTTGCATTAGGCCTGGAGCACATGAAATGCATAATACGATATGAGCATAGCATAAAGCCCATGGTGGAAGTATAACCAGAGAGGATCATGAGTGTCGGTCCACAATAAGGACTTAAAGCCTTACACCGTAAGATATCGACCAATTACAATCGATTATTCTTCTCATATTCGACTACGATTGGTCTATTTCTTACTGCTTAAGGTTTAAAATCCTTATTGTGGACCGACACTGATGCAAGTATAAAGGCCTTCACACATAAAAAAAGTAAGGCCGTAAGACGTAAGCGTAAGAAAATCAACCAATCCCAATTGAGTATTAGGTTGTCCGTAACCCCTCCACTCAATTGGGATTGGTCGATTTTCTTATGCTTACGTCTTACGGCTTTACGGGATTTTATGTGTAAAGGTCCATCTACAATGGGAGCAGTAAGTCGTAAGCCGTAAGAAATTTACCAATCACAGTCGATTATTCTTCTCATATTCGACTGTGATTGGTGAATTTCTTACGACTTACGATTTACTACTCTTATTGTAGATGGACCTTAGGCCCGTTCTACAATACGTCGTATGTCGGGTCATAAGCCGTAAGCCGTAATATTTAACCAATTACAATCGAATATTCTTCTTACATTCAACTGTGATTGGTCAATTCTTACGACTTACGGTTTACGATCCGACATACGACGTATTGTAGAACAGGCCTTAAAGGACTTAACATGGTATGTGCAGTTTGCAAGCGTCTCTTTCTAAAAATGTTGCGCTCTCTGTCGTTTTGGGACTTGAGGGGGTCAGGTTAACCAACTGCGAAAAGCGAAACATTTGGCGTCGAGCTGTTGGTATGAAATC